GTGTGTGTGTGTGTGTGTGTGTGTGTGTGTGTGTGTGTGTGTGTGTGTGTGTGTGTGTGTGTATACTGATACTGCAGCCTTGAGTATTGGCAGATACCAATATCGAACTGATAAGATACCAGAATGAATCATACGTACTTATTACTTATTTTATAGTGTGGAATGTTAAAAAGTCTTGCTCAAGTCTAAAAGTAAACAATCGTCAACAACAGTAGATATGAGAAAAACTGACACTGCAGCAGCACCAGGAAATCCCTCACGTATAATGTGTTAGATCCAGAAAAATGTCTGTAAAATTTTGGGGCAAACCTGATTTTTATTTGTCCCACAGTAACGCCGGAGCACTATCAGCACTGGAAACAAAACAAGTGTTCATATTTTCTTCCACCTTACCTTCTCACCAGTCGTAACGTGGACGGGTGTGAGGCTGACGGTGCCTGGGAGACTCATGCCGATGGGGGGGTGTAGAGCTGGATGGAGCAGGGAGGGCCAGTTGTTGTCCTCCTCCTATGCGTGGATCTTGGCCATACTCCGGCGCACGGGCATTTGGAGGAACGTATCTTCCCGTCTCCCTCCACCACTCCTCGTCGAACGCTGCAGCATCGCCTAGCAGGAACACAGAGCGTGTACTCAAAACACCATTTCAATTAATCTGATTCCAAAAAGTGCATTTCTAGTCCCCAGCACATTTTATTAACCACACAAAGATGAGCTGATGTTAGAAAGCTATCAGCATTACTCACTCTCATCAAGGTTGATGAAGTCATTTCGTTCCTCTCGATCTCCAGTGCGGCGATTTCGTGAACGCTCCATAATATGTGCCCGATCGCCAATATGGTGGCCGATGGCGAGACGCTCAAAGCCACTCTCGCTGTCCCTCATGGACTGCCGTGTCTCGCGGATCTGAGAAAAAGTGACGGGAAGACACTTCACTAAACAAATACTCTGCACACTGAATAAATTTGAAAGGTGATAATTTGTGGTTCCCATTACTATTTTATATGTTTATAAAGCCAAGAATAACTTTGCCAAGATTAACAAACTACAAAGGCCTACAATCATAAAACCTGAAGTTATCCATACCCCTCCAGGTCCTGTTCTTGTTGCACTTGTTTGCTGATAAACTTTAGGAGCCCCTGCGTCTAGAGACGAATAAGAAATCACTGTTGAAGAGGAAAAAGTTTGGCAGTTTGGTGTTCCAGTCATTCTTTCCTACAAAAAGGGAGACAAAAATAAACAGTAAATGTGATGAGTAGGGSTGCAACGGTCATCTAAGCAGCGGTTCATTACGTAGAGTCAATTTGATACAACGGGGGAAAAAATAAAAATCCTTTGTGATCCAGTCAAAAATGAAGCTTCTCAGCTTATTAGTGTTAGAAAATAACTTTTGACATCGAGATATGAAAAAAATTACACGAACAACATATCAAAACATTTAAAAATCACAAATTATATAGCATAACTGATTGCCATACTAGCATCTCTCATCCTCCAGTGCTCCTTCTGCTTGTTATTCTGAATCATCCATTTAAGCTTTGATGTAGAGTGCAATAAAATATTTTTATTTTCTCTTGTGGCTTTTAACAAAATGTAGTTAAATAGAAAGCAAGCCCACTTCTAAATGAAAGAAGAGATCACCTATCATCAAAAAATATCTGTCTCATCATGGTTCTGTACTAATACATGAATTGTTACACCCCTGGAGAGGAAGTTTTAATACTACACTGGTTTCAGTCACAGTAGTTATAGTAGTAGTACTGTTTGCTTATAGCTTGTTATTAAGATTACTTACCACGTTTTCCATCATTTCTCCCGCCATGCCAAAGATATCCATAAAACCTCCACCCTGCAAACACAAAGAAGAATTTTAAAATTTGAAACATTAAGGATGACATATTCTTTTTTAGACTCTTATGAAAAAAGTACTTATCAAAAATAGTTCAAACATTTAAGAAAAAAAATCTACAAACTCTATGCTTTCCACATTGGAAGATTAATTTCTGTGCTACTTCTGCGAAGTGCAGAAAAAGAACTATCATCCATTATCACTCTAAAAATCAAAATAATGGGTCAGTCCAAATTTAGGAGTAGCTTTGACCTAGCTGATTCACTTTCAGATGCAGCAAATTATTTGACCATAGACTGCTTGTTGAATGGGAAAAGCAAGACAAATCTAACATTCTGTGGCTCTGAGCATAATTTTAAGCGATGAAACTACAGGCATTAACCTCTTTTCACAAAATGTTTAAAGTTGTGAAGAACATCTTCACTTAAGCTCTTTCAATGAAAATACTTAAGATTATCAGGGCACATAAAAAATTAGGTCTGTGATTTTACTGCAACTTTTCCTGGTGTTTTAATTTTATTTATCCACATTGGACCTCATGCAAGAACATGTTTGTATTCTTATCCTAAATTTCTCTTAGTTTTGTTCGTACGAAGGCTTCGTACGAACATGTCACGTCAGATTCAACAAACTCTTCTATCGTCAGGAAAAGGGTTTAATTGAGCTGCGTAAATTCCACCTGTTCATATCCAGC